GAGTCTGTCAAGACTGGCCCGTACGGGCAGGGGTACCTTTACCTTTTTATCTCATGATACAAAAGTACCAGATATTTTAAGGGAGCAAAGCGATTACTGTCTTATGTCTTTATTGACTATTGTCTTACTTGTCCATTACGCCTTTACTGAAATCAAATGATTTGAAATAGCTCAGGAGAATCCATTCATAATATTGAATGCATGGTAAATTTGTACCATCTGTTATTTCACTGGTCTAAGCAGTAAACCTGCATTTTATCTGGCACATAGCCCTCCTCCACACATTAGAAACCTCCCTATCTTTGGAGATCTAACATGTCAAGGTGATGTCTCTACTTTTTAAGATGTTGTCTAGATTTGCCATCGCCTTTCTCCCAAGGAGCAGGCGTCTTTTAATTTCGTGACTGCTGTCACCATCTGCAGTGATCATGGAGCCCAAGAAAATAAAATCTCTCACTGCCTCCATTTCTTCCCCTTCTATTTGCCAGGAGGTGATGGGACCAGTGGCCATGATCTTCGTTTTTTTGATGTTGAGCTTCAGACCATATTTTGCGCTCTCCTCTTTCACCCTCATTAAAAGGTTCTTTAATTCCTCCTCACTTTCTGCCATCAAGGTTGTGTCATCTGCATATCTGAGGTTGTTGATATTTCTTCCGGCAATCTTAATTCCGGCTTGGGATTCATCCAGCCCAGCCTTTCGCATGATGAATTCTGCATATAAGTTAAATAAGCAGGGGGACAATATACAGCCTTGTCGTACTCCTTTCCCAATTTTGAACCAATCAGTTGTTCCATATCCAGTTCTAACTGTAGCTTCTTGTCCCACATAGAGATTTCTCAGGAGACAGATGAGGTGATCAGGCACTCCCATTTCTTTAAGAACTTGCCATAGTTTGCTGTGGTCGACACAGTCAAAGGCTTTTGCATAGTCAATGAAGCAGAAGTAGATGTCTTTCTGGAACTCTCTAGCTTTCTCCATAATCCAGCGCATGTTTGCAATTTGGTCTCTGGTTCCTCTGCCCCTTCTAAATCCAGCTTGCACTTCTGGGAGTTCTCGGTCCACATACTGCTTAAGCCTGCCTTGTAGAATTTTAAGCATAACCTTGGTAGCGTGTGAAATGAGTGCAATTGTGCGGTAGTTGGAGCATTCTTTGGCACTTCCCTTCTTTGGGATTGGGATGTAGACTGATCTTCTCCAATCTTCTGGCCACTGCTGAGTTTTCCAAATTTGCTGGCATATTGAGTGTAGCACCTTAACAGCATCATCTTTTAAAATTTTAAATAATTCAGCTGGAATATCATCACTTCCACTGGCCTTGTTGTCAGGTAGAAAGCTTTACTCTGACCTGCTTGGTTTCTCTGTGCAGGGAGGAGACCATCCATTCATGTAGGTAACCAGTATTTGGATCTGTAGAGCCAATAAACTTCAGAAACAAAAAGTTTTGGGTTGCTGACCTGGACCCGCATCTGACCTGCTCTAGCTCTTGTCTCAATCCAGTCAATATTTTTTGAAATCAAGACATGACAACTCTGGGATCTGTTATTTGTATGTTTGAATAGCAATCCTCTTTCACTGTTCTTTGGTTATCCTATTTTAAGGATTGTAGCGCATATGGTACAGAAAAGTGATTAAAACCCATTGATTTCAGTAGGAGTTGATGCATGCTGGATTTTCCCCAGCTTGTGAAATCCACAACTTGCTTTCTGCAGAAATGGTAGAATGGTTCAATGAGAAAATTTCTCCAGTGGGCATGTTGGGAATTTTGAGAGACAGTCATAAGAGACCAGTCACAAATTGCAGGGGTGGCGGTGGCATAACACAAAATGGGCACCACACCGAAGAGAGCAGAAAATGGTGTGGCCATGCCCTTACCCAGTGCTTTTTTTCTGGGGGGATACAGGGGTACGCATACCCATAAACATTTTGTGGATTTTTAGTTTCTTCTCTAGCATGGTGAATCGTCAGTTCCGTTGCTAACCCCGATTTCCATTTACTGTGTTTTTCCCGATTTGAACTATAAAATGGTGATTGTATTGAGTCAAAATGAGAGTAACCCGACTCTTTATGTAAGCTACAACTGTGGTGAGGATGCTATTGGCACAAAGATGGAAAAGCGATAAGATACCAACGAAGGAAGAATGGCAAGAAAAACTTATGGAATATGCCAAAATGGCAAACCCAACTGAAAGACTTTGAAACAAGAACAAAAAATATTTTAAGAAAGACTGGGAACCATTTTCAGCTTATATAAAAAAATCAGTGCAAAGAACTAGATTCACTAACAGGTTTTGAATGACCATTTACAATTGACAAAAATTATATAATTTAAAAGTTAAAACATAAAAAGGACTGAAAAAGGGATACAGTCGTACCTCTACTTACATATCCCTCTGGATACAGAATCTTTGGGTTATGGCCACTGCAAACCCAGAAGTGTATACTTCCAGGTTTCACCGTGCATGCATGCGCAGAAGTGTTCAGTCGTGCTGTGCACATGCACAGAAGCACACCTCTATTTACAAAATTTTCGGGGTGCGAACGGACCCCTGGAACGAATTAAGTTCGTATCCGGAGAGTCCACTGTATGCAGGAACTAATACTATTTTAAATAAACCAGATAAGGTGGTTGAGGGAAGTCCGGGGGGAATGGGGAAATTTTGGGATTATGTTATATGTTATGAATCAATATTGGAAAAAATGGAAAAAATATTTTAAAAAATGAGAGTACCCATCAACATTTTTTTAAATAGAAAAAAAGCACTGCCCTTATCCTTAGCGAGGAAACATGAACCTACACCAGCCATTTCAGTGCTTGTCTCAAAGAAAAGTTCTTTTCCCCTCTCTTCTACTAGGAGCAGGAGGGAGGGTGTCCAGTCCTGCATCTGGAGTGGGTTCAGTGTGGGAGTGGCTGAGCCAACGCAAGCTAGAACGGATCAGCAATAGCAAACTGTCTCTCCTGTAGTGTTGATTTTGAAGGGATATTTACTGACACCTTTGGTGGGACATATGGCTGATACTGGCAGCCATACCAATACCCCCATGTCAAAAGCATTATTGCACAGTCATACCTCGTGTTGCGTTAGGTTCATGTATACTGCGTCGTGTGTGCAGAAACACCGCTCTAGTAGCGGACTTTTCAGGGTGCAAATGGCACCCCGGAACAGATTGTGTCTGCAACTAGAGGTACCAATATATAGGTTGTATTCAAGTTATGACCTGTTCATTGCTAAAAACCAATAACATTGCAGCCCTAACGGGGAAATGTGGTTCTGTTGTCATTTCGTCCAGGCTACAGTAATGCCCTCTACATGTTCAGAAATGTCAACTGTCACAAAATGCTGCTACCAGAATGGTAATAATGGGTGATTAACTGTCCAGGGTCCCTTTACCTTACTTTACCTTTACCTAATAGCTGGTAGATGATCTGCTTACATTATACATAGTGTTTGTATTAACCTTTAAAACCCATATCAGTTTGAGACCATATTATTTGAAGCACCATCTATACCCATATGAACCAATCAGTCCCTAAGATCAGCCTCAGAGGCCCTGTTCTCTGGTCTACCACTAAAAAAGGTCAGGTCAGTTGGTACCAGAGGCAGACAAAATGGCCCCATGACTTTTGGGACTCCTACCTCCAAGACCTGTGTTTGGTCCTATTCTGTTGTTATTTCAAATGGATCCTGAAAAGCATTTTATACCATCAAGGTTTTCAGTTATTTTACTGTTGGTTTGCTATATTTTAATTTGATGTGTTTTATGGGTTACTTTGATATTCATGATACTATAATGTTGTAGCCTAATTTCTTATATTGTAAGCTGCCATAGATTACTTGACCATAAAATGTAATAATTTAACAATAATAATTTATTTCTCCCCCCCCCTTGAATAAATGGTATGGATTGCATAGTTAAAGCATTCAGAGTTAAATCTGAAAGGGAATTATCAATGTTGTACTAATTTTGTTTATTTCCCTGTATTCATACAGAGCAAACTAAATCCTTTGTCCTGTTTCTTTAAAACCAATAATAAAAAAAATTCAAATAATGCCACAGATATCATTTAAGATGGCATGTAGGCAATTGCTAAACCGTTAAGGGGGGAAAATCTGTGCATCTATTTTAGAAGCAAATTAGCATTTGCTACAGTTCTCCTGGGACAATCTTTTGGCATACTTTCAAGCCTGCTTTTCCCTAGAACATGCCTGGGTTAGAGCAGGTGCTTTTATAGACAGTTTGCATGTGCTGTGATATGGAGAAGAGTGTGGTCTTTTTCATATCATACATAAAATCATGAGTTTAATTTTGAAACCAGAAGACTCTGAATTGGGTAAAAGATTTGTCAACAGGTTTCAGTTCTGACTGCAGAACTACCTGAGCACATGAGCAAGAATGAGGCTATCTTGCTCAATGATGTCTTTTCAAAAGATTGTTCTCTTTCAAAAGGACATTAGAAAGCTTCTGCATCGTAAGATTTATGTGAGCCAGCTTTATATAGTCAAAATAGATGAATGAAGCTCTCTCTTATTCGAAGTAAGAAAAATATCACTAGGATTCCCTTTTTTTAAAAAAAAATAGTGAAAATAACACCTAACATGCAAGCTACCCAAATGCTCTTTTCATGCCATCAGATGAATATGGGCTTACATAAAGGAAAATCAACTGCAGAGACACAATAGTGGACTGAGAATCCTCTCTCATATATTTGAAATATATGATGCATTGCTGCTTTGTGTGATGGGGTGGGGTTTTTTTTTGGGGGGGGGGCTACAAGGGAACTGTTTAATAGAAGCTAGGTTATTATTCCAAAAGTTGGCTTTCTTGATAGTTTCGTACAACAAAATGACTGACTGTTGTTGTTTTTACCAGATTATGAAGTTATAAGGCCACTCCCAAGGTGTAAACTATGCCTGCATTCATCCCGTTTCCTTCCAAGGAAAGCGTTTGTATGGTCGTGCTTTCTTGTTAAAGTGGTCTAAAATTTTGATATTATTTAAAGGGGTGGCTCTGTGAACTCCTGCGCTGGAAAGAAGATCCTTCACCTGAGAATAGAACCCTGTGGGAGAATCTGTCAATGATCCGGAGATTCCTCAGTCTTCCTCAGCCTGAAAGAGATGCCATTTATGAACAAGAAAGCAATGCAGTTCATCACCATGGCGACAGGCCTTCCCACATTATCCATGTTCCAGCAGAGCAGATTCAGGTTGGTTTACCTTTGCCTATTCAGAGTTAAGAAGAAGAAGAAGAAGAAGAACAACAACAAAACCTAGTTTATCTTGAAAAAGAAACCATTCCTTCTATTTCTGCTCTATTAAATAGAGTTTTATTATGAATAAGATTATTTCAGAATTAAAATCTGCCATTGTTCACCTTTAGTTGAATGCTTGACTTTTTGTGCAATACAGAATCATGTGTACATAGTACACTAGAATTAATTTTAGGGTTTCCTGATCAGTAGTTCCTCCACGTTAGTTCCAGATTTTTAAACTTCTTTTTAAAAAACAAGCTGGGAAGATGCAAGAGTTGCCAAAACTGGATATTCACAAAGTAATATGCATGTACTTCAGGCATTTTCTTCTTCGTTTCAGTAGCTCTTGCACCCACAATTGCATGAGCTGCAGATAGCGATGCTTAAAAAAAGAACTGGTGTCCGTGCATACCTCTTACTTGTGGCAATAATTTATAAATGTGGAGGACGTAAATATACCAGGTGCCATAATGTTGAAATAAAAGTCCAGTTGATGCAATTGACAATGTTTCATTTAAGTGAAAATCGTGGGAGGAGTTCCAGCCCCAAATTCTTCATCCCACTTGCCCCCCGTTTGAAAATTGGGATGAGTCAATGTTTGTTTGTTTTTCCTTCAGAGCCCCTCTCCCACCAACCTTGGGAAAGGAGAGCATAGAGGCGCTTTCTTACCTGGCCTGCTGACCACTGGACCTTGGCTGGGTGCTGCTCCCCAGGTGAGCTGGCACGAGTTTAATGTGTCAGGGACAGTTATGGAGGGGTTTCAGGACTTGAACCAACAGATTCCTTCCATATAAATACAGAACAGGAAATGCTGCCTCTCTGGGAATGGACGAGGCTTAACTTTATTATAAGCTGCCCTGATAATAAATTTTGAAGGGTGGGGGTGGTACAAGTCTCTTGTACTAAAGACAGACTTGGGGGTCAGCCTTTCACTTTCCCCCTTCTTTTCCAAGAATAGATAGCCCCCTGTCCCCTGACTACACTCAAGACTCTGAATCGTTCATATTATTACTATGGAACTATTTACAAAGCCAAAAAAGCACACCTGTGTTATTAAAGATACAACAAACTGAACAATGGAATATTGGCTGCTTGAAATGATGAAAGCTGAGAAACTTAATGTTTGATTTAGCAAAGCGAGGGAGAGAAAGGTCTGTGCTAAAAAAACCACATTACTGTACTTGCTTGAAAATTGCCAGTTTTCATACACTTATCACTTGTTAATGCATTTTAACACGAGAATAAAGGGAAAAGCTTATGCAACCACATGCATCCTTAGTTTTGGACATGGTTTCACCTTTTATACAAATGCTCATATCCTGAGCATTCTTAGTAAAATGGATCTTACTAATCCTTTGGAAATTAGCAGGATTTAGGCTAAGTAAGCATAGTTAAGGTTGGGCCGCATGTGAGCAGTAGCCAACAAAGTTGTAGATGTACATAAGACTCTACCTCCATACGTGCAATATTAGATGTGCCATATTCCCAACTTTAGTTGCTATGTATGGAAAATATGTGACCTTTTTAAAAGAGTGCATACATACATATGCAGCATCTTTGTGACCTTGTGAAATTTGGGCACCGCATTTAAATAAATGTATTCAAAGGCCTGAAAATTGCTTACATAACCTCTTTGCACCCAAGTATGCTGGTATAGAATGACATCCTCATGCACAAAACATGTCCCTGCCTTTATATTTGCACAGGTTTCACAGCCTTCTTTACACTTGTTTAAGTTCCACTGATGTTTCATCTGATGCTTAAGAGTTCAAGCTTATCTCATGTAATTCTGGCTTTATTGAGTTTTTGGAATTAATAACAATCTAGTCATTGGGTTTTTTTAAAACTTAGATGCTCTCGTCATAGTATCTCCTTTAAAAAATTCTGAACCTTTTCACTTTGCCATTAGCAGTACCTAAGTAATAATTCAAAAACACTATTGAGGGATAGGTAAGTACAAGCAGGACTTCCAGTAAAACTTTACACTATAGGGTGTTCTTGTTCAGTGATCCAGGCAACCAGTCATACCATGCCATTCCCCAGTCCTCATTGGGAGGTTTATGGAGGCGTGATTGCCTTCCCTCCCCACAATTTTTGTAATTCTACAAAATTCAGGCTTCTCCCAAAAATGCTGATTTCTCCCTCCTCTTCTTGGTTGATTCTATTTTGGCTAAATAAAAATGAGAACTGGGAGAATTGAATTTGCTATTAGTTTAAGTGAAGATGTTTATATGCAACTTCTAAATGGAGATAGTGGGGAAAAAGGATATAGATGGCAGTTATTCTAATATTGTACACCACATGGCTTTACTTCTCCTTTCTGAAGATGTGTTTTATGATTAATACTGTTCAGAGTAGTTAACATTTGGGGCTATACCAGTGTTTTCCCAACCTATGTGCCTCCAGCTGATTTTTGGCCTACATTCCCATCATCCCTTGCCACTGGTCTTGCTAGTCAGGGATGATGGGAGTTGTAGGCCAAAAACATCTGGAGAACAAGTTGGGAACCACTGGGCTATACCAATTATGTCTTCCCCCATTTTTTTATCCTTACGTACATTTCCAAAAGTATGCTGTCTTATATAGTTAAAATTCAGTTTCATGATTATTTGACGTACCCAGCAGTAACCCATGACCCACGTAATGCATGGAAACAACATATTTAAGATATTGATATGATTTTCTTGCATGCAGCAGCAGCAGCTGCTTCCTACCTCTTCTGCAAGTATTCCCCTTCCTTCTCTTTTCAAGCTAATGCTGCCCAACTGCACACATTAGTTGGCAGTACAAAAATATGGTAGAGAAAAGGCATGACCTTTCCTGCAACAACACAGCCCAGAGGCCAAATTTGCAGACTCCTCACCAACTTTTCAAACAGGAGTTAATCACACAATCCGGACCTTCATACAATCAGCTACATAGAGTCCGGCTCAAATTGGAAACTATGAAGGGGAAGGACTTGTGCCATTCCTCCGTGATATATTTCATCACACACACTCCCAGCTGGATTGGTGAACTGAGCCCACCATAACTGTTATTGACATTCAATTTATATCTCATTTTCCCATAAGGATTTGTGCTACAAGTGGCTAGCATTACATGGGAACTGATCTAAAATTAACCACAGTTTGCAGGAAACAAAAGTTGGAACTGGATTTGCCAAACCTGTGGCTAGCTATGGTTAGCATCAAATGTATACATGCAGTGCTAACCGTAGTTAAAAGACAAGAGTTGGAGAATCTGTATGGGAAAGTGAGGGAGAAAGAATGAGATGTAGGGGGGATATGGAAACCCATGGGGCAGTCATCAGATAGTGTTATTCCTGCCCCGGCTCAGTATGGGTAAACGCAATTACTTTAAATGTTTTTAAAGAAACCATTATTTCTTATTTCTTGTATTGAACAAAAAAGTCAGTGTGGTTTTCTTTGTCTACCAGCAGCAGCAACAACAACAACAGCAGCAGCAGCAGCAACAGCAACAACAACAGCAGCAGCAACAGCCACCACCACCAGGCCCCAGATTACCCCCAAGGCAGCCAACAGTAGCATCACCAGCTGAATCTGAGGATGAAAATCGTCAGAAGACCCGCCCACGAACAAAGATTTCCGTGGAAGCCCTGGGCATCCTTCAGAGTTTTATACAAGATGTAGGCCTATATCCAGATGAAGAAGCAATCCAGACTCTTTCAGCTCAACTTGATCTTCCCAAATACACCATCATCAAATTCTTTCAGAACCAGCGATATTATGTCAAGCACCATGGAAAGCTGAAAGACAACTCAGGCTTGGAGGTGGATGTTGCAGAATATAAGGAAGAAGAGCTGCTTAAGGATTTGGAAGAGGCTGCACAAGACAAAAATACGAACACACTTTTTTCAGTTAAATTAGAAGAAGAGTTATCTGTAGAAGGGAACACTGACATTAAATGAGTTGAAAGACTGATTGAAAAAGTATTTATTCAACAGTGTCACTGCTATTTACTAATGAAATGAAAATTCCATCCTGTGTTCTGTCAGCAACCTCTATTCATTGTTTGGCCAATGAATCTTCCAAAACTTGCACAAAAGTTGAAAAAGGATAATGCAGACTGCACTAGATATTTTACAATTTGCTTCAGAGCTACAGATGAAGCATTGAGGATTGTTTCATATTAATTTGTGTTCACTGGGTACACCAAGATGTATCCAATAAGCATGATATCTGTGGGTTGTTTTTTATTATTATTATTATTCTAGAGCTTTCAGACAAGCATTACTTTTGTGATTTATTGTTTTGGTTTTGGTTTATTTTCCAATTATTACTGTTAACACTCCACACTTGATCTTTGAAAGCTCACATTTATTTAAATAATAGAAGAAAAAGAAGAAGAAGAAGAAGAAGAAGAGTTTGTTACTCTTGCTCTATTGTATGTTACAAAAGAACTATAGACTGTGGGATGCAGTTTAAAGTTAACATATGCCAACAAATGCCTTGTATTATATGGCACTGCCGTAACTCAGATTTGTTTTCTTTTCAGAAATAAGAGGTCACTGTATCTTTTTCATTCTCATTCTCATTGTTACATGATTTTTTGAAAACAAAATGTGAAACACTGTTTTATCCCCATTATTTATTTGTAGATCCTACAGCATCATGTTGTAATTAATTTTTAGAAGTTTCCGTTAAATGTAATATTGCTTCTCTTGTTATCATACTGATTTTTTTTTCTATTTATAAATGTATTTTGATGGGCAGTAAAACAAAGTGTCTTAAAAGTTTTAAATAGAGAAAATGTGCTTTACACAGTTGCCTATAAAAAGTGCTCTATGTTATCCAAGCAATTCATACTATAAGCTTCACTCTTATTGTTGTATGCAATTTTTACTATCATGCAAATAAGCTTAGGTAAATAAAACTAATAGATCACCTTAGAAACTTATGCAATTAATGTGAAAATAATTGATGTTTGCAATGTGTCTTCCTTTGGTTTACAATCAATTTTAAAGCTACAGCTGTATAAATTTTCTGTATAAAGGTGTATTTCTTTTTTATGAGTTTATTGCTATGAAAACACCAGTTATTTTGTTACAGCTGGCTGTTTTTATAAGTGTATCACAATTTTCTTTAAGCAGAAATGTTCTGACTAGGAGTGGTTATTGACTGTAACTACACAATTAAAATTGTTTGTATGGTATGATACGACAGGGTTTGTCTGCTTTTATATGTGTGTTGAAGTAGCATCCTAAAACATATGTTGGTACTTTTATCCATCACTTTGAGAGAGGTTTCTTCAATTTGCCTCCTTATTTCTTATTTTCAATGACCTAAAACTATGAATCTGACAAACGGATACTTCTAAAGGAAACCCAGTTTTCCTGTGAAAATCATAACCTGTCTCGTCTTGGTTTTAAAAGTTGCCTGCCCAACAGAGATAGGAGGATATTATTGAGTCAAAAGGCTATCAGGCAAAAACATATTTACAGTTCCTGGCAGTAATGCACTTATAATGGATGCAGCTGGTTTTGTTTTACAGTATTTGAATTTATGATAACACTGTTCCTTATACTAATGTATACACATGTTTTGCTTTGTTTTTTTAAAAAACCATTAATAGTCACAAAGTAAATAGGAAAGACGTACAATCCCTTACTAGGCAAGATTATTTTTAATGAACATTAATAAGCTGGTGATATAGAAGTAATAATTATAGGGTTTTGATTTCATATGGACTACATGTTGAGGCTTGTAAGAGCTGAAGTAAGGGAGACAAAAGAGAAAGCTAAAGAATATTGGTATGTTTCTCCAAAATAAAAGCTTATTGAGGAGCCTGAGAGTTCCATTAAATGTTTAAATAGAAATTTAAAGTAATCATGCTAAAAGGATTTAAATGATTACAAGCATTATGCCTAGAATAATTCTTCAAGAAAGTGTATTTTAGGAAACCGTTTTCACCATGTGTTTTGCAAATAACACAAGAAAAAGTCTACTTCCATTGAAAACTGGTTTATATTTTGCTAGTGTCTGCCATCTTGTTAGCACTACCATTTTTTCTTTTGAAAGGAATATGTCTGACAATTCAAGATGTGCAATACAATACCCAATGTGCATTTGAAAATTCTTCAATTTCTGCTTGCCAATAATTGTTTTTCTTCCCTGCAGGTTGTTTTGCTTCCTTTTAGTTTTTCATTGTTGTTGTTAAAGCAGGTACATTAAGATACATCCAACTGGTGCTAGGTCAACAGCTGATGGAAACGGGGTACGTCCACCAGGAAACTAATGCCAGATTTATGCTAAAGAAAATTTATCAGTGAAAGTCACTTGGGTGTTAACATGTTTTAGATTGAATTGCGTGTGTCTGTTTGAAGAAGACGGGGGCAATTTAGACAATGATGGGAGAGCAGGTAATACTTACTTTCAGTCCATGAAGTAAGAAGGCCTCTGGAAGGTAAAACATTGGTCTGCAGGTGGCACGAGACTAAGTGGACTCAAGCTTCAAATAGCCCTTGAAGGGAAATAATAAACGAGTGCTCTTTACTTGTCAGTGAATCAATATTTTCTGCTTGGGAAAAACTATTGGTGTTCTTGGAAGTGATGATGTTCTGTATTAAATAAACTCCTTTGGGTATGACTACTGTTTCAAAAGCCAGAGCCTGAACAGAGGTTAGCAGCAACTTAGGCAAATATGAGTGGGAAAACAAGTGTCATAAAAGGCTTTCTTATATGGAAATACAAAAAGCTAGCACCAATTCATTCAGCTTCAAACACGTATTTGCATCACTTGAGCACTTATGCTTGTTTTTCCAAGACATTGGAGTACAGAAATGGTCATGCAGTAGTGTTTCACACTAAACACTATTATACAATAGCAATATCAGGTGGTTGAGTACCTATCATCTGGAAAGCAAAATGGGACTCCCCACCCCAAATTGAGTATTTTCTACATAGTTGTAGGGCTCCTTAGATGTGCTGAAATATAGAAATCTGTATAAATAACACAAAGTGGGGAGATCAAATAGACAATATGTGGTGTGGGTAAATGTTGAGTATCGGTTAAAAACAGAACGTAGGGGAAAGGGGTAAATCTGCCTGCTGGATTCCCTAACAGCTTATTAAATCTTCAGCATTTTAGTGTGAACTTCTGATATATTTTTGTATACAGTTTTGACGAATGTACACATTTTTGCAAGCAATTTCTCCCAATACTATCGTAAGTAATGTTCATTTTTATGCAAATCTTCCTCCATTATATGTATTTCAGTAAACATTGGGTGGAGAACGGATAAATGCAAATTTTAATTATGGCTGTGTTTGGGTTCTCATTTCGAAAAGTGAGAATTTTGATAGATTCAGCTTTAATTGCAAACTGATTCAAATTTCTCTCCATCCCTATTGAGAGGATAAAGTATCAGTAGATGCAGTACCTCATTTCCACATTGCAAACTTCCAGTTCTTGCATATCATTAATTTGTTCTGCATCCTGCTGAAGCTGATTCTTTAAAAATAGAACAGGGTAGTCCTTGAGGTGCCACTAGGCTCACACTTTCTTTTCTCACATATGCGACTAGATACTATAGCATCAATACTGAAGCAATTCCAGTTTTTGCATGTGAAGGTTAGCTTACAGCTTCAGCATATTATCATGAGTTCAAAATTTTGCATAACACTCTGGCTAGTGTTTGACAGCATTAAAGTGGAGAAATGACAGAAAGTCACATTCTGTCCTAATGGCCTTGAAGGGTGAGAACTATGGATGTATCTTGCATTATTCTGATTTGATTCTGTTTCTAAATAATTAACATAGTAATGACATAGTAGATACTCACAGTTCCAGTTGTGAATGATAAGATTCGTTTGATGATAATCTTATTGATTTTGACATAAGACAAGAGCGTCTTAATTTTTGGCTTTCTGCAATGAGTGATTTCAGAACAATTGTTTGAAAGATTTTATGAGCTGCATTGTATGGCTGGGATCCAAGAAGCTACTTTTAAGTGTACCCAAAAGCTTGAGAATTCCCAGTGGAATTTTTGGCTTTTTTCCTTTGGAACAGATCCCCCCCCCCCCGGCATGTATTGTACGGTACCAAAAACTGCTTGTAAATGTTCCTTTAATTTAGTGTTGGTTGCCATATTGCCAAATTTTGTTCAGATTGTAATCATGCCACCCAGTGCCTATTAGCACCAACAGCTGGCCTAGATCCCTAGCTTTCATATTTCAAAAAGAGCAAGTCTCTAGCCTTTGTATAACTCAAGATATGAAGCAAAAATATGCAGGAACTATTCCTCCCAGTTACATTTTGAGAATCCCCTTCCTGCCTTAGTGTACTTAGCCAATGACTGAAATTAAGGAAGTACTAGTCATAGAGATGAAAAAGTTAAGAGGGATGCACCAATTGTCTGGACTTCCAGGTTTCATTTCTAATGTTTTTACTTCTCTGCTGAAGACTTACTGCCTACAGAGCAGTGTTGAGAAAACCAGAATTTAGTGTAGCTGTGACAGAAGATAGCAGGGAAAACATGAGTTCATGCTGTTTATAACTTGCACAATAAAAAGCTTTTGTTTGGTTTTTTAGTTTGTAAACGTTTGAAAATATTACCCAGCCAATGCAGATAAAGTTGATGCAAGAGCATGGATTACATCAGCTATGCAAAGTAGCAGAGTGTTGTTAGATCCAGGATGCATCCTGATTTGTTTGCATGGAGGTTTTCCATTAATCAATTACCCATCCACCAATTGCTATACCACACTTTCTAGTGCATTTTCGTGCCATTTTTCCTTACTACAAAATGTCCAGTTTTTAAATGTGACTTTGTTGCACCAGAGCACTTTAATCTGCTTTAACTGCATAAACCCAAAGTTGTTAGTATGCAATTGAATCCCTCCTGCAAAAAGTGACAGTCTGCAGGGGAATCTATATTGTTCGAATGGTGAATGAGTAGTATAGGATAACCTTGCAGTTTGATTGGTTGCTTGGTTCTCCAGTCAAAAATACCCTCTGCAAAATATATTTTGGGTCTCAACAAAGATTATTTGACTTCCATTGCCCCTATCAGTCTTCCATCCCAAATCCATTACTCAGTTGCACTCAGAGTTTGATTTTGCATTGACCTGTATTAGTCATATACACATTGCACTTTCCCCATCATCACATGACTATACAGTGGTACCTCGGGTTACATACGTTTCAGGTTACATAATACCTCGGGTTAAGAACTTTGCTTCAGGATGAGAACAGAAATCGTGCTCTGGTGGCGCGGCGGCAGCAGGAGGCCCCATTAACTAAAGTGGTTAAGAACAGTTTCAGGTTAAGTGGTTAAGAACAGTTTCAGGTTAAGAACGGACCTCTGGAATGAATTAAGTACATAACCTGAGGTACCACTGTACTAAGTCCCAACCGCTTGAAGTTTAAGGCTCAAATTGCAGTGTCTCATGCCTTTTCCCTTCTGTACAGTGATATCCTTGGTTATTTCACAGGGGTGCAACATGTTAAACTGTAGAACCTACATACAGTCTGAAACGGTGTTTGACCTTGCCTTCAGATGCCCCCTCCAATCTGGCTTCCTATCAACAAAAATGTATTGTGTTTATTAATGCTAGATCGTTGTTTCACCTTTGTCTAATATCCTGAAAAGAAGCATGTCACTCCATCAGTTTCATAGGAAAAAGCTTATAAATATATAACTTTTTTCATTAAGCATCTTCAGTTGGAGTCAGAAAAGGCTAAGCTTCCTTTCAGAAATCCATGTTGCATGTTATGCAGAGTGAGTCTTTTGAGTAAGGATGGATGAATGAAGAGGACATTCTCAGTTTATTTCTCATTTTTCCACCCTTAAGTCCAGTTCTTCACATCAGTTCCACATCAGTTTATGATTTCTTAAAAAGTTATGGGAATGCATCTATCTACATTTTAGTTCAAATGTTTCCTATTATACAATTTTTGATGTCCCAGCTATGCATAATTTTGCAAAGAAATTCTTCATAATACAATGCATGTTTGTATGTTATTTTTACAAAAGTAAAGATTTTGATGCACACGACTGAATATGCTGGAGGACTGTATAGCAGAATTCAGAGAAGTGTAAATTTCAAAGAGTTGTGTTTCGGAAGGTGCAAATTAGACAAATAGGCCTTTTAATGCAAACTGAATCTAATTTATTCCCCACCTCTACTTACGACTTTTTAAGTTGCTTATGGTTGTCAAT